AAAGAAAAAAAAAAAGAGAAAGAAAGCAAATCGTCTTTCTCTGAAAGCTTTTCAAACTTGGCTGAACTTTTTAACTTCCTCTGTTTTAAAGTCGTCTATCTATCGCAAGCAAAGATGTCAACTACCATAAAAAAATAAAAATAAAATAAAATAAAAAGGACAAAAAATAAATAAATAATAAAAAAAAAAAAAGAGAAACTGAATTATTAGTATTTTATTTTTGTTATAATAATTTCTCTAATATTTTTCTTTTTGGGAGAGGACGATCAAATTCGATCCTTTGCCAGTCTTCAGGAAATGATAAAGATAAATTTAAATCATTTAAAGGGTTAGGTGAGAAAAAACCCAATTATATTTTCTTTTCTTTTTTTATTTAATCATTCAGTAAATCAATCCTTTTTGTCCTAACATATAAACGTACAAATTTGTCCGATAACAAAGAGAGAGAAATCGGAAAAACAAGAGAGATGGGTTCTTTTGAGATGCTAGCAAGAAGGGCTGTGCTAACTGATACCCCTGTTATGGTTAAGGTATTTTTTATTTTTATTTTTTTTTTTATTTTTAAGATCCCGTCTATGCTACTGCTCGATTCATTTTATCTTCTTGATTATTAGATAATGATTTGATTTTAAAGTTGAGTACTTTAGTTATTTTTATGTATATATGTTTATGTGATTGTGTGTGTGTGTTCGTGTGTGTGTGTGTGTAATAATTTTGAATGTCTTAAATCTTACAGATACAAGAACTGATCCGAGGTGTGAAAGATTGTGTCTCTCTGGCTCAGGTTTTTGTTTACTTTCCCCAATGTTTCGATTTTTTTCGCTTTTTTGTTGTTTTGATTTTGGTAGCATTTATACTTATTTGAGTTTATTGTTTTGATATTTCTGAGTATCTGAGGTGAAGAAATTGAGAAGTGTGAAGGGATCCCTTTTGTCTGTGCTATGTTTTTGTTGAACTATAAAGTCTGTGTTTTGTGTAATTTCTTGGGATTTACTTCTTCAACTTGACATTTGCTACAATTGTTGAGCTTTTTTTTGTCATAATACATTCTGTCCTTTTAGTTATCTTGATCCAAATCACTTGATTACTTCTAAAAGAACAATCTTGATCACATCTGTGTAAGAAAAGTAGCTCCATTTGGATGTTGGTATTGTTGTAAAAGGTTTTTCTGTTTTTTGAGAAAACCACCTTTTTTTAAGGCAAATTTGCCCCTAATATCACGACCTTTATCGAAGTTGCAATTTAATCAGGAGGGTTTCAAGTTTGCTAATTATATCACAATCTTTAGTTTGTTGCAAAACAGTCTGATAAAAAAAGCTGATGTGGTCGAACAACACACTGAAGATTGTCATATAGTTTGCACGGGATATGCAAATCAGTGCACCAATTTGCAACAAAATGAAGATTGTGATATGATTTACAAAAGTGAAAAAGTCAGTGATTAGATTGCAATTTCGAAAAGGGTCATGATATTAAAGGCAATTTTGCCTTTTTTTTTAAAATACAAGGGTTATGGATTTAACTAAAAGAGAGATTTGCTTTTTCATCTCTGTGACCTTTAGTTTTGGAAGTGAAGCATGCCTATGGTTGGTGTCAATTCCAGTATCCTTTTACTAAATTTTATACGGCATTGATATGACTGTAGATGTGTAGCTGGTCATTGGATAAGTTTTTTAAAGAACAAAAAGAAAAAGTAGTTCTTTTCTTGTTGATGGTTGTTTGTTTCCCACTGCAAACTTGCTAGTACAATTTATCATAGTTCTAGTGTCAGTAAAAAGGAATTAAAGCATGTCTTGTTAATTATTTGCAGGGTGTTGTGTACTGGCAGCCACCGAAACAGGCACTAGAAAAAGTGCAAGAACTTGTTTGGGAGCCTTCGGTTAGTCGATATGGTGCTGATGAAGGCCTGCCTGAGCTGAGGGAGGCTCTAATGAAAAAGGTCACATTTGTTAGATACCTGAGGCCGTGCTTGTTTGTCAAATTTCTAGAAAAAAAAAAAAAAAAAAAGAATCTATCTCAATTCAAAATGTAACTCAAATTTAACTCAACCCCACAATTCTCAATATTATCAATATAATTTAATAACGTCATTCAATCATTCTTACACATCGCATCAACTTTAATTCACTATTCATCCACTCACATAATTTAACTTACCTATCATTTTCAATCATTTATCTCCTACTTTTACATCAAATCAATTTTTACTAATTTTATTTTAAATATTATTTTAATACATTCTTAAAATCTCACTAACAACTAACCATACTCATTTTTTTCAAATTAACTCTAGTTAACACAGAAAACCAGAAAAAACCAATTTTTTTATAAACAAGCACGCCCTAAGTTTTTATTGGTTTATGTTTCTTTATTTATTTTTTCTACCAACACTTTTTGGTGCTAATTGATAGAATCATCTCCTGTACGTAGGTGTGTGAAAGTGTAATGGAGATGAAGCATGCTATTTTTGTTTTTTTTTTAAAGAAAATATTTGTTGTAGAGAAAAGAGAAGTTGTATAGGATCAGAAGTTGGTAATGTGTATATTAAATTGGTGATTAAGGGTTAATTCATATCAAATTGGTGGTGTTGTAACCCAATTACATAGAAAGCCCTTGTTATCCCCTGAAATTTGTAAATTACCCCTTGAACATTTTTGCTTTCTTTAACCAATATATACCATGAAGTGTGTGTGTGGGTGTGGTGGGCACAGTGGGATGATACCAAATTTCAAGGGGGTCTCTGGAATAATTTGAGGGTATCTGTAATTTAAAGAGATTAGTGAAATTTTTGCTAATTACATCCTCGGAGTAGTTTGTGTAAATATCCTCTAAATACTAAATCGAAAGCAGAAGTTGGCGCTCGAATGCTAAAAACATGTGTTTTTGTTCATTAGGACAAAAGTTTGATAATTATCTTTTCTGGTTAAGTTTCGGCAAATACTCTCGTTGTGCAACACATTACCACATCAGCAACTCTCATATCGATGTCAAGTGAATTTGTGTTGTCCTTTTCCCTTTTCAGTTGCGTGACGAAAACAACTTGCATAATTCCTCAGTAATGGTGACTGCTGGAGCCAATCAGGTGGGCTATTTTCAATCTGCTGCAATTCTTTACAGTACGTAAAATAAGCTTCTTTTTTTTTTTGCACAAAATAGGAAAACTGGAACTCCAGTCATTTGCAAATGTTTTCTTCGAATTTTCTTTTTGTGATAGTTTCTTGTCGAGATTGTCCAAAATGATTGTCCTTTATCTTAAGATTTTTAAAACCTATTCGGTAAGATGTTTCATGGGCATTGCTTTTGTCAAAAGCATTATTTTCATTGATACATACAATTGGTAATTTGCTTGCGTGCGGACACTTAGTTTTCGACACAAATAAAAATTTGGCGCGCACTTGGACAAGGCATATAAGTTGTGTGTCTAATCCAAAAGTGTTCAAGGCATCCTATGTATGTATTTAAATAATTAATAAAGTCCTTGCGGACTTTTCGCAGGCATTTGTGAATATTGTTCTTACATTATGCGATGCTGGGGACTCTGTAGTGATGTTTGCCCCATACTACTTCAATTCATACATGTCATTCCAGATGACTGGAGTCACCGACATTCGTGTGGGTCCCGGGGACCCAACTACACTTCATCCAGATGCAGGTTTATCATTAAAAACTCAAGTTACCTAAGTTATTTCTCATGGTTCAATCTCATGTTGTTCTCTTTTTCTCCAGATTGGTTGGAAAAGACATTACTAGAAACAGAGCCGACTCCAAAGCTTGTAACTGTTGTAAATCCTGGCAATCCATCAGGAACTTTCATACCCGAATCTCTTCTTCAGGTTTTTTTATTTCCCAAAAGATTTTGTCGTGTTTATCAGCGCATTTAGATCATTTTTCCTCAAAATATCTCTTTTTTCTTTTTTTCTTTTTCAAAACAGCGGATATCAGATATTTGCAAAAATGCTGGATGTTGGCTTATTGTAGATAATACATACGAGTATTTCATGTATGACGGGCGAAAGCACGTGTGCCTAGAGGACAATCACATAGTTAACATATTTTCGTTTTCGAAAGCTTATGGGATGATGGGATGGCGAGTTGGATATGTAAGTTATATGTTTTTAAATTTAATGACATAACCGAAATTTGAATGTGAATATAATTACACAGATTGCATTCCCCACAAAAGTGGAAGGATTAGCAGCCCAACTCCTGAAGGTCCAAGACAACATTCCCATCTGTGCCTCAATCATTTCCCAACGGCTGGCACTCCATTCATTGGAATTGGGGCCCGAGTGGGTAAGAGGCCAAGTGAAAGAGCTCGTTAAAAACCGGGAGCTCCTTTTAGATGCATTGTCCCCATTGGGTGAAAATGCAGTGAAAGGAGGAGAAGGTGCCATCTACTTGTGGGCCCGACTCCCCGAAAAATATGAAGACGACTTTGAAGTTGTGCGCTGGCTCGCCAAAAAGCATGGGGTTGTGTTAATCCCGGGTTGCTCGAGTGGGTGCAAGGGCTTTGTTAGGATCTCATTCGGGGGATTGGTGGAGGAGCAGTGCCGTGTCGCCTCACAGAGGCTCAAGAAGGGATTGCAACAGTTGGTCACTCAAGGCATGCTGCCATGACTGAGTTCACAAAACTTTCTTCTTCTTCTTCAACTGGTTATTGGAGTGTAAAAGTTATCATTGCTATTAACAATTAATTGTGTCATACAGTAAAAAATAATAATTGTTGTTTGTTTTAAGTTTTGTTGCCCAACACTTTTCTTTGTAATATTAGTAAATGCCTGCCTTTTCTTCTCTCCAATTTTTTTCTTTCGGGTATCAGCTTGTGCTAACTCTTAATCCATTTTATTTTACATTCTTGCGATAATGTTGCTTTATTTATTGTATATAGAAGGTTGGCTCCACTATAGAGTGATGGAGACAAGGCCTCATTGGTGTTTTTAAAGAAATACGATCGGCTTCGTATTTAGCATATTTATTTGTCGGGTTTAGTGTTCTTTTTATTTATTGCTATTGTTGGTATTTAGTATGCTGCTTGTTATTATTATTTAGCTAGTTAAGTTGATTAGCAGGGACTATTGAGCAAGTTGAAAGGAGATGGACTCCTCTTTGTACATATGTGGTTTTGAGCAGTGAATAAAGCAGCAATTGTTGAATTTGAGAAATATATATCTGTTCTTGTGTTCTTATTTCACGTTCGAATATACGCTCTACATCAGTTGGTATCCAGAGACCGGGTACGTTCCACGATGTCGCCAAAGAAAGGTAATGTAAACGATCCTACCATCGACGACCGATTGCAATGGATGGACGATCGGATTCTTGGTATGGATGATCGATTAACGAACTTTCTACGGGGATCGAGGAATTACGGGTTCCCATGAGTACCGTGATGAACGAGGTACGTACGAACCGCGAGTGGCTGGCAGGGGCCATCGTGGAGGGATGCGCGGGGGTCGTGGGGGTCGAGCTTATGGCGGGGCGCCCCGCTATCGATCACCACCTCCACCGTTCACCGGTGATGACTCTGACGAAACCCTAACGGGAGACAATCCATTCGTTGATGAAGACCGCTGGCGAGGCAGGGACGATCGGGTGCACGCGCAAAGGGGCTTTGGCGGACGGGAGGTGGACTTAGGGTTTACCGTCGGAGAGGGCGGCCGTCGTGCGAGAGTGGACAGATGCTTTGGTGTCGATGGTGAGGACGAACTGTGGCAGCGCGGTGGTTTCATTGGGGACCCTCGTCGTCGCGGCAGATTTGCCGACGGAGAAGGTGCTGGGCGTCGTGACGGACAGCGATACTGGGACGACGACGAGTTTCCGCATGATGGTATGTTCTCGAATGATGAGGATGGTGGAAGGAAAGACGATGGCCCGTGGCGGCGTGATGGTCGTCGTGTGGCTATCGATGATGAAGGGCTGCGTCCTGGAGGTTTCGGTGACCGGCGCGAGGGCATGCGTCCGATAGAAGGGGGCGATGCATCGCGTTGTGAGTCAGGCTTTCCGGTCGATAATCCCGAGTTTCATGGCGGTGTACAGGCGGATGAATTTTTGGATTGGTGGGCAGCTATGGAGGCCGTGCTCAGGTTTAAAGAAGTGTCGGATGACAGACGTGTCGCTCTCGTCGCCACTCGATTTCGGGGACGTGCAGCAGCTTGGTGGATGAAACTTACGAGCTTGCGACATCGTTAGGAGAAGGCTCCAATTTCATCGTGGATGAAATTTCGTGAATATGTGGAGCGTGAATTCTTACTGTACAACTATGATAGTCTCATTTATCAACAATTACATAATTTGAAACAGGGAACACGCTCTGTCGACGAGTATATGGACGAGTTTTATCTTCTTTTGACTCGTGTTGAGGTTTGGGAAACTAAGAATCAATTGGTAGCTAGGTATGTTGGTGGGCTTCGTGTGTCAATCAAAGATATGTTGAACCTTTTCCGGACGGAGTCGGTTTCCGATGCTCACCAACGGGCTTGCCTTGTGGAACAACAGTTGAACCGAAGGGCTGGGCCGCCTTTTTCTTCGTCTACGCGAGCAGGTCAACCGAGTGGGAGAGGATAGCAGCCCGACTAT